TCCTTTAAATCTATAAAAATTATTACAATTTAAAATGCCTTTCGTTAACAAATATCCTCGTGCTAAACAATTCGGCATTAAACAAATGAATTTTTTGACAATTTATGATGAATATGTTATGATTCTGGATTATATAAAATGTGACATAATCATATTATAAATACGAATATAACCGCCTATTTAACTTGACAGTATTAGTCCTCTTTGAGGACTATAATGATTATGTAGAAAAATATAAAAATAAAATTTAATTTTTATATTATTAATTGAGTAGCAAGGCCCAGTTTGTACCAAATATTGGCTGGAGACTCAAGGTTACAAAAATAATTTTTTTATTTTATTTTATTTAATTTTTATATTATTATATATATATATATATTTTATATTTAATTGAGTAGCAAGGCCCAGTTCATATCAAATATCGGCTGGAGACTCAAATTTTCAAAATTCTTTTTTTTTATTTTATTTTTTTCATATTTTTTTTAATATATTTAATTGAGTAGCAAGGCCCAGTTAATATTAAATATTGGCTAGAGACTCAAGTTTTCGAAATTCTTTTTTTTATTTATTTTTTTTTATTTTGTATTTTTTTATATTTTTTTTTATATATTTAATTGAGTAGCAAAATCCAGTTCGTACCAAATATCGGCTGGGGACTCAAGTTTTCAAAATTCTTTTTTTTATTCAATTTTTTTATTTATTTTTTATATTTTTTTATTTTATATATAATTAATTAAGTAGCGAGGCCTAGTACGTACCAAAGATTGGCTGGAGACTCAAGCATTCTTAAAAAATAATTTGTATATAATATGCATTATATAGTATTAATAAAATTATTACTTTTATACGAATATACCATTAATTCGTGTATAAGTGAATCAGAATTACTAAATATTATAGTAAAATAAATATTTAGTTTGCACATTAAATTATCGTATATAATTTCTTCTATGTCTAAAAACTATAAAATCTACAGCTCAGACCACTTAATCATGGGAAATTTTTTGTACCAATTTTAAAATTTTATACAGAGCTCATTTAGTTTATAATTAAAAAATTCTTTCCATTTACTTAAAGTACATAACCTAAGCTATAAAAAAATGTATTCATTTTTTCTGATTTATGTATGCAATTAAAAGTTATTAAATGTTAAATTTACTATATTTTAATATAAAAATGAAAATTTGGCCACAAAGATCGTTGCCTTTTTAGGTTAATTGATGTAATTTTTTTTATAAAAAAGCTATTGATTGTATCGATCGTATTGTTTGTACTCACTTAACATACCACGTTTATCAAAGCAATGGGCTCACTTAAAAAAAAGATCTAACCTCCCACGAATTTAAAATATCAGAGGCAGAAAGTGCTGATGAATCAAGTGATGAAGGTTCAGTGCTTTGGTGTACTGAAGAACTGGAAAATAATGTGAAGGAAACTTTACAACTTTTAATGAATGGTGCAAAAAGCATCATCCCATCCAAATGTCCTTTATGCTATTTAGAAAATTCTTTCTGAACCCAAAGAAGACGCAAAGCCAAAGAAAAAAAAGTTGTTGCTAAACATAAAAAAAAGATTACTGATTTTTTTAGTTTTACATCAACTGAAGAAGGTGACTCAATTTTTGAAAATGAAAACTCACCTACAATAAGTGAATCTAGCCAAGCCTCTGAAGATGAATTTAATCCACAAACTGACGATCAGGAGTCTGTTGATGATGAGAATTTTAACAAGGAATATTTGTTATCTGATAATGAATTAATTAAAGAAATTAAAAATAAAATTAGTGACAATAAACTTCCAGCTGGTTTAAAATGGAAGTTAACTGCAGTTTTATAATATCTTTGATTAACTAAATGTAATAAATCAAAAATACAAGCAAGTTTATCTATAGCACGCTAATTGGGTCATGATACTTATCTTGCACGGTCTATTCTTGAATAGACTAATATTTTAAAAGCTGGTGGTAATCTTCCAGAATAATTTTGAGAAAGACATCCTAAAATTAAAAGTATTTTGGAAGATGAGGATATTCAAGCTGAAATTGTTTTATTTTTACATGAAAATAAGTTTGAATTTTACACTGCTGACTTTGTAAATTATATTTCGAATGTTATTTTACTAAAACTTGGAATTGAGCATGAAAAAAAATTGGGTAATTATTATTTTTTTAAGATTATTTATTATGCAATAATACTAATCATTTATTTTTTTTCTTTTTATATAAAAATTCAACTACAAAGCGATGGCTTAACAAAATGGAATTTATATTTAAGCAATATCATAAAGGAATATATTATGATGGTCATGAAAGACCAGATGTAGTGGAATATCTACAACAATTTCTCACACAAATGGCTGAGTAAGTAAAAATGTTTTTATAATTATAATAATTCAATTTATAAATATATTAATAAATTATTTATCTATTTATTTAGGAATGAAAAATTTATGTCACAATTTGAAGGTGATAATTTAGATATTCAAATAAATCCATTGTTAAAAGAAGATGAAAAAGAACATGTATTAATTATACATGATGAAACAATTTTTTATGCTAATGATGATCACAAATCTGGATGGGCTCTAATTAATGAACAACCTTTGAGGAAAAAGGACAAGGATTATCAATTCATTTTAGCGATTTTCTTTGTGAAACAATCGGATGTTTGTGTTTACAAGTAGAACAAAATAATGAATCAAATATTCCATATAAAGCTCGTGAAATTATTCATCCAGGTAAAAATAGAGATGGTTATTAGAATATGAGCAATTAATTAAACAAGTAAGTATAAATATAATTGTTATTTTTTAAAAAAAAAATTCTTTATTTTAATTGATATTAATTATTAAGGTTGAAGAAAAGGTAATACCTATTATTGAAGTAACACATCCAAATGCTATTGCAGTTTTTGCATTTGATAATTTCTCATCTCATAATGCTTTTGCAGCTAATGTTTTAAATGCAAAAGCAATAAATATTAATCCTGAAGGTAAACAGCCTATTATGCGTGATACTATTTTTAATGAACAGATTCAACATATGGCTTTTCCAGATGATTATAGTGACTCTTCTTTTCGTGGATTACTTAAGGATATGAAAATTATTCTTCAAGAATATGGTTTGTGAAAACAAGGCATGGTGGGCTATTGTCAAAAATCTGACTCAATGGAAACTAATTGTTGTATAAGACACATTTTAGAAAATCAATCTGATTTTAAAAATCAAAAATGTAGATTACAAGAAGTATATGAAGCACATGGTCACAAAATAATTTTTTATCCCAAATTTCATTGTGAGTTAAACTACATTGAAATGTACTGGGGTGCTGCTAAAAAGTATACACAGCAACATTGCAATTACACATGGGTGGGTCTTAAACAAATTATTCCTGAAGCACTTAATTCTATTTCTATTAAACAAATTCGTGCATATGCTAAAAAATCTTATCATTACATGAATGCATATAGAAAAGGATTAAATACTAAACAAATTGAGTATGCAGTTAAAAAGTATAAACGTTATCATATAATTCCACAAAGTATTTTTGATGAAATATCAATTTAAAATAATATGTCATGTGAATATCATGTGATTTGATCTAATAAAATAAAATTTGGCCACTTTTAATCATTTGATTTTATATTGTTTTATATAATTATAAAAATTTGTCACTTTTTTTAAAATTTGCTGTGACTTAGTGGTCTGAGCTATATAAGATCTGAAAATGCAATATTTAAAGTATTTCATTGTATTGAATATAAAACAAATTGCAAAAGTTTGCGATGATATTTTTTGATATTTTATTATTTTTATTAACTTATAATATCAAATGTTAAAAACAAATTATGACCAACCTGATGCAGGCAGTGATACAAGAATTATATATATTTATAAATTGACATTAACTATTTTAGTAAAGGGTTACATTCTTTTGTTTGATATTTCAAAAAACCAACCACTCAGTGACTGCTTTCCAAATTTATTATAAAAAAAAACTTAAAGGTTGAACGTGGCTTATATCATTACATTATTTCTCGTGAGAATGATTTACCACGATTATCATTTTCACCACCATCTAGACTTTTCAAACTTTTTTTCTCCTTAATCATTCGCTAAAAATTAAATAAAAATTAATATTACTTACTTAAATCTTGTAATACTTTGTAATACTTACCAAATATTTATTTACTAGATCCATAATTTTTAAAGAATAACTGAAATTTTGCCGAACTGAATCATTTAAATGTTTGCCAAAAGGTCTTAGTATAAAAATAATGCTAAATTATGTACAATGTAACAAATGACTATCGATTTTTGTAACTTAAGCCGAATTTTGCTGAATCATATAACCGAATCGACTGAATGTTTGCCAAATAGTATTAGTACTGAAATAATGCTAAATTATATACAATGTAACAATTAACTATCAATTTTTGTAACTTAAGCCGAATTTTACCAAATCATATGACCGAATTGGCTGAATGTTAACCGAATGGTATTAGTGCTGAATGAAATAATTTTGACTAGTGTATTCACAAGTAACATCATGTAGAATAGACAATAAAACATCAAGATCAAAATTGGAAGCAAATCATTTTTCTGATGAAACCACTTTTCAAATGTTCCAAAATACTCAAAAAGTATTTTATAAAATTGGCACACAAACCTCCACAAAACCTATGGTCAAATATCCATACAAAGTTCATACTTGGAATGCTTTCTCAACAAAAGGTTTAATTAGTCTTCTTCTTTTTACTGGTATTATAGATGGTGCTTTTTATTGTAAAATTTTAAATGACAACCTTTTTGATAATGCTAATACTATGATGGAAAGGTGCTGGATTTTCTAGCAAAACTACCACCCTAAGCACAAAGCTAAAAAACAATGGTTCTTCTTACACAAAAATGTCCGAAACTATTAGACTGGTCATTTAATAGTCCAGATCTCAACCCGATTGAAAATTTGTGGTTTATTTTAAAGAGTAAGGTAGAAAAACAAGTTAAAAAGTTGGTAAATAAAAAAATTCAGTTACTGTAGATAGCTTTTTAGATAATTTTAAAAGAATGGGAAGAGATTGATCATCAAATTTACGTTAATTTAGTAAATAACATGCCAGCAAGGTTGGAGCGGATAATTGAAATGGTAATAAATACCATATTAAATATGTATAATATGTATAATCAAACTTTTTCCTTGCATCTCAAACTACATTATAATAAAATTTTATATTATTTGGGCACTCCGTTATTTTATAATCAGTAAAAACGTGATTCTGGAAACTTTTTTCGTCTACTGTATATTCTTAAAAGGTATTACTATCTGAAATCTTTTTCAAATGAACAGTATAAGTAAACTATAGAGAAGTGTTTATATAAAGAGACTGAGAGGATTTCCTGTGATATAGAAGAGAGGTGAGAAAATGTGAATCTTATAGAAGGGGTTTTGTATGATTTGCAGATGAGTATTCTTAATTCAGAAATGCAGTTGGTGCGTGCGGTTTAATGATAGGTTGTAAAAGATTCACAAAGCCTTTTCTGGATATAGGAGCTGCCAAGCAATTCAAGGATATTTTTAAAATGGAATTTGAGAACCTGTCGTAAAGTCTTTGCAGCATAATCGATGTAAGATCATTGTAGTTGAAAGTTGTGACAGATGTGATGTTTATCATCGTCCAATCCAGTATTATTTTAAATGAGTTGATTTGGTAGGCCATGATTAAATAAAAAAAAGTTAATTTTATTTAGAATGCGAAAGATAGGACAATTTATTATTTGCAGGTTTCAAGATCATAGATTGGTCGTATTCACTCCGACAATGACTATGTAATTAATCGTAAGATTGCAAAATAAAATCAAATGATAAGTATTTTTTTATGTAAATAATAATTTTTTTATTAAGTTAAGATTTATATTATTATGAACAGAGATAAATAATTATATATGGAAAAATGGAAATTATGATTTTTTCTTTTATTAAATACTTAACCTTTTTTTAGACATTTCTATGAAAAAAGGTGTATAATAGCAAAGAAAAAAAAAATTTGTATGAATTTAATGATATTTCATAAATTCATTTTTTATTTATGTGTTTAATTATATTTAAACTTTATACAGTATATGCGTAAGTCTAGCATCGAAACTCTAGCTACTTCTAAGCAATTCTGGTTTAGTTAATTTTTTTTTAGTTTGTTAAAAAATATCGACAAAATTACTAGTCCAGAGTTGAAAAAGAAATTTTAAAATGGAAATTCATCATTATGAACTTCAAAATTGAAAAAAAAATTTTTAATTCTTATTAAATTGATGCGAGATCTTCGCAATGATAATATATTTTTTTATTATTTTACTTTTGTTATATCGAGAGCCTTAAACAAATCTTATAAATTTGGCAACTTGAAGTTCTTACTCATTTTTGTTTGTTATTTGCTAAGGTCAGTATAAAATTTACAAAAGTAGGAATCAGGTTAGCGTTTATAATGGATTCAAAAGTTGTAGTTGTGTCATTGTAATCAAAAAAAAATGTTCAACTGTAATAACGGTCGTTGTAGTGGTGGTTATAGTCGCATTTCATTCGTAACAACATAGGGTGTTAGTAGTTAGAGAACGAGTGATCTTTTCATTACATTGATTTGTACTGGTGTTTGATCAAGTTAATTGAAAGGTCAGTTGATGCGGTTTTAGTTTGAGGAGTGGGAATTAAGGAAATATCATCAATCTAAAATATGTTTGCCTGGCGACGATTCTTTACCAGAGGAGGCATCTAGAGTCTGCTACATGTAACTGACTGAACTAACTAATAGCGTAATGTTCAATCTCATGCTTTGATTGATCGCGT